AGTCGAACTGCGACTGGCATTGCCGCCTAACTGATGCGGCAAACTGAATTGAACTGGCAATGCGACTCCTGATTACAGTGTTGCTGATGATGATGATGATGTTGATGACGACGACGACGTTGGCGTGTATGTGTGCGTTGCGTAGTTGAGCTGCGCGCAAGAAAAGTGGCCTAAGCGCCGAGAAACGGCACACAGTTGCTGCCACCGCCACTGCCGCTGCTGACTATTAATATCACCAGATACGCGGCGCGTAATAAATTAACGGGGCGCGCGCATACGCGAAAAAAAGACCGCTAAAACACAGCACAAAACAAAGAAAAAGGCTAAAACGTTAGCGTGTGAGCGGGTGAAAGAGGCGCACGCGTGTCTCTTGTGTCAAACAACAACAACAACAGCAGCAAAAAAATCACTTTGTACGTTGAAAATGTAATAATAAGTAATCAGGAATTTGTGCGTTGGCAACGCAGACAGTTGTCGTCGTAGTCGAAGTCGAAGGCAAGCAAGTAGACAACCTACCCAGTAAACGCTTGACGAAGTGGCGCAGTGCGGTGAAACGGTTGTGGCTGCGACTGGGTGGAATCCCACAACAACTGTGCAAGCATACGCCTATGGTATTTAGAATGTAGGCTTGCTGGCTGGCACGTTTTTAGTAACAAACACGGCGTCTACGTACGTACATACGTATGAATGTATAAGCCCAAGCTCCAATGTATTATACAAACATACAAAGGTACTAATTTATGCACTTACTTATGTACTTTCCAAGTTACAGTGATATGTAAGACTCTGGCTGCCCCGACAAATTCTTCAAAAGAATCGACCGCGTATGCGAACAGTTCGGACGAGCGCGCAATAATTGTGCTTTGTGAACGACTTCGCGTACGAAACGCGACTAGACGGACAAGCAAAATTCATTCAATTTCCAAGTAAAAATCACAATCGCAAAAGAAACACGCAGACAAATGCAAAAAGACACGCACAGATACAGGCGCGCACGTAGAGAAATAAAGCAGATATCAGTTTTGTACGAGTATGCATTATGCGAGCATGTGCATAAGTAAGGTAGATATGTATAAGCAAAAGCCAAGCAGCTGAGCAGAAAAATAAATAAAACGAAATAAAAAGAAAAAAAGTACGTTGCTGTTTATAAAACAGACGAAACGAGACAAAGAGGGAAATATAAATAAAAGCAAACATCTGTCGGTGGGTTGGAGATTGCAGGTATATACATATGTACATACATACATACATCTGTTTGTATTTGCCTAAACGACCCCAAATCCCCAAAGCGAAGGCGAACAAGCAAGAGAGTCGCCACTTATAAGACGACGAAGAAAAAAAGCAACAGCCGCACCAACCTCGCTAACAGCAAAAGAGGCAAGTTGATGAGAACAACAACTACATACTTTGGTAACAAAGCAGCAACAAGTTCCATCAAAGAATCGAATAATCAAGAAACTTGAAGTGTACACTAAGCGTATGTATGTACGTATGTAGGTATGTAAACATGTGTGAAGGGAGTGTGGAGCAGCGCACCGGGAAAGCGACTGACTACGCAATGAATAGTGATATACTCGAGTACCTCTAGCAAGTACCGAGTGTTTTTTGTACTTCGATACGCGTGAACAAATACTTCGTCGAGGGTATCGAGTACAAAGTGCAAGTCTTTACTTGTTTGCTAAATTTGGAAAGATCAACTGAAAATAGATCTATGTTGTAGCTTTTGAAAAAAAAAACGATTTAAGATGGGAACCACTCGATTTCGCTAGAGTTAAAACTAACGAAAGTGGAGAACGAAAATCGTATCGAATTAGAGGACGATGTGGAGCCATCAATGATTTGCGCAATGATCGTTTTAAAACCGAAGCGTCAAACACAAGTAAACAATGAGGGTTCTCATTACTTAACATCTCCTATTTCAGCACTTTCAAGTACCCCATTTCAAAATAGAAGGATATGAAAAGGGATTTTCATTAATTGAAGTAAAATTTCTTGTGTGAGTGCCTTCGAGTACAAGTAGAATCGAGTACTTCCTAGCCGTACTTTCGAGTAGCATCGAGTATTCTCTTCGATACTTTTAATGAGTACAGGCATCGAGTACATGGTGGTATCGGATGAACACTACCAATGAAGCTAGAAATGTATGAATGTATATATGTAAATACGTCGCCGATGCTGCTGCTGCTGCTGCCGTCAATGCTCAAGTGCTCCAACAGCGCATACCACAAAATTCACACTTACTCACCCAGCAGCAAAACGGGGCAATAAAATACCAATAAAACTGTGTCTAGAGCAAGGGAGGGGGCGGGGAGTGAAGGGAAAGGTTGCTGGCGAGTGGCGCACGCAAACAAGCTGACAAGTCTGACAAGCAACCAGTCAGCAAGCCAGCCAGCCAGCCAGCGATTCAGCTGGCGAGATATGCCTAGTCTGTCGAGCGACCAAACGAGTACCAATAGTCAGCTAGCTAGCCAGCCAGCCTGCTAACCAACCAAGCAAACCAGTCAGCTGGGTCGTTCGGTCAGTTGGAGAGCAAGCGCCGTCGATTGTTGTATGCATAATTATTTGTGTAAGCTTGTGCAAGAATGTGTATGATGCAGCGCAAGCATACGCTTAATAAGCGAGTTTATTTAATATGTACCCTGTAGGAAATTGGGCATATTTCTTGAAGCGTTTATAAAAAGCGCAGTTGAGGCTTAAATGCAAATTTGAGAGTTCTCCAAAAATCTAAAAAAAAACGAAAATATGAAAGATGCCAAAAAAGTTACAAAAAAAGTCAAAACTATCGAAAAATTATTTAGAACGTCAATAAAGAAACATGTCAATACATGTCAGCACATATCAAGCAATTTTGAAAAACTCGAAAAAAATCTATATCTCAAGAAAACCTAGGAAAAAACTCGACATATTCCCGAAATTTAAAAAAAAAATCCAAAAAAAAATCTCGAAATATTGTAATATTGTATTAAATTTCCAAAAGTTACGAATACTAGCAAAAGGTTCTAAAAGAGTTTTCAAAAATTCACGAAAAATACCAAGACCTAAAAAAATTAAAATAATACCGGCTAGGATCCTAAGAAAACCTAAAAAAAAAAAACCGAAAGTTATCGAAAAAATCATAAAAATGATAAAAGGTCTTCAAGAATTCGAAAAAAAAATTCGCGTTAAGTTTGGAGAATTGCAAAAAGTTTGATTAAAAAAATTTTCAAACATTCTCGAAACGTTTCTGATTAATATCCCTAAAAATTCAGAAAACCACTGAAAAGTCTCTAAGTACTTGCAAAAACCCAAAAAGCTGTTGAGAAAAGTATGGAAAAGACCTAAACAATCGAATTAAAATACAAAAAGTCGCGAAAAATGTTTAGGTTTTCCATAAGGTTCCGAAAACTCCCAAAAAATCACATAAAATACATAGCTTCGAACTCTAAAAACTACTTCGAAAATCCGGAAAATCCCCCGAAAGATGTTGAAAAATTCCTAAAAAGTTTCGGCAAATACGAAAACCGACGACTAATTTATCAGTTTCTTAAAAAAAAGAAGTCAAACGAAGTTTCGAAAAGTTTCAAAAGCTCCTGAAAACTCCTAAACTTCGCGCATATCTTGATAATCCCAAAAAATCCCAAAAATGTTTGAAAAATTTTGATTTTAAAAAGATTTTTTGGAACTAATCATATTGTAGATGATTGGAGGCTTTGTTCAATTTGTAGTAAATAATATTACCTCAAATAGGTCTCTGCGTATTATTTTTACAAATTTTTTAATTGATTTATTTCGAATAAATGGAGAATTGCTATATTTCCATAAATCCATAGCAGCGCTTATTTTTGCCCTAGAGGGTATACACATACAGTGACGGGCAAAACTGTAACATGGTGTAACACTTTTTACTTCAGCCATCGCTATCTTTCCAAGTTCTAAAGACTTTCATACTTTCGTTGTATATTCTTGTTGGTACATCCCTACTCCCTCTCTCATAACGATTTGAAGTCAATACAACAACANGTACTATATATGTATTCGTATCAGTTATAGCCACAATAGAAGCAATATCGATAACAAAACGGCAACAAAATGCATACATACAGACTTACCTATGTACATAAATGCAAATACACTACGCCATGGCGTATGAGCAACTGCTATGAAATTTGCGGAGTGCGGCAGGTACATACATATGTATACATACACTGAAGAGCAAAACTGTAACAAAATGTAATACTTTCTATTTCAACACATTTTTTTTAGACATGTTTTAACAAATCAAATATTTTTTTTGCATAACTTTATTGGCATGTATGTACTCTCTCTCTCAAACCGGTTTGGTGTCAATGCAACAACAACAACACTAGTAGCAAGCAATAATGCAAATAAAGACAAATGTTACAGTTTTGCACTCACTCTTAATTTTCAAATTTTCCGTTATTTTTCTCGTAATTATATATTTGGTGGATTTTTAATTATTATAAACGTGACCGTGAATAAGACAAAATGTTAAATCAGGAAGTACAACGCCAAATAATTGATTTGCTGAAGAAAGGCGAGTCTATAAGAAAAATAGCTAAAAAATTCGAAGTGAGCCACATGGCTGTGCAAAGGCTGCGGAAAAATGTACCAGACGCTGTTCCCAGTAACAAAGGAGGCCGGCCAAGGAAGATAAGCGACCGCGATGCCCGCCATCTGGCAAATTTGGTAACAAGCAGCAAGGCGGTCACTCCCAAAGAAGCACTAAAGATGCTGGATATTGATGCCAGTCAGTGGACAGCCAGGCGCAGCCTGTCAAAACTGGGGCTAAAGGCAGCGGAGAAGAAAACCAAGCCAATGCTGACAAAAAGACATGTGCGGTTGAGGCGGGATTTTGTTGCGGCTCACCAAAGCTGGACAGTTGAAGATTGGGATCAGGTACGTCTTTATAAATGGATTATAAAAGACCTTTTTTCATAAAATTTCAAAACGATTGCAGGTTATTTGGTCTGATGAAACCAAAATCAATCGATTTCAGTCAGATGGTCGGGCCTGGTATTGGGTTAAAGACCCAAATGCAGTCCAGCCACATCACATCAAGCAGACAGTAAAACATGGTGGTGGCTCCATTATGGTGTGGGGCTGCATTTCCAAAAATGGTGTGGGTCCATTAGTACGAATAGACGGTATAATGCGGAAAGAGGAATACCTGGCCATATTGCAACAAAATCTGCCGGGTGTAGTGGAAAGTATGGGTCTTACTGCTGAAAAAGTAATTTTTCAGCAAGACAATGACCCTAAGCACACCGCACATGTTGTACGAAATTGGATGCAACGCCAAAAATTTCGTAACTTGAAGTGGCCTCCACAATCACCGGACATGAACCCAATCGAAAATTTATGGAGTCATGTAAAATCGAAGCTTGCCGAATATTCAAGTCCGCCCAGTGGAGTTAATGAGCTGTGGGAGCGAACACGCGATGTATGGGATGCTATTCCGACTGACTTTGTCTTGAGGTATACACGAAGTATGCCTAATCGTATCCACGAGCTGAAAAAATCCAAAGGATATTGGACATCTTATTAATATTTATTTTATTTATTGTAAAAAATAAAAAATGGGTTGAGTGCAAAACTGTAACATTTGTCTTTATTTGCATTATTGCTTGCTACTAGTGTTGTTGTTGTTGCATTGACACCAAACCGGTTTGAGAGAGAGAGTACATACATGCCAATAAAGTTATGCAAAAAAAATATTTGATTTGTTAAAACATGTCTAAAAAAAAATGTGTTGAAATAGAAAGTATTACATTTTGTTACAGTTTTGCTCTTCAGTGTATATTATTATCTACATACGTACACCTAAACACTTGCTTATTAAGCTCACACTTAAAGTAATTTTAACGCGCAAATAATGCGCCAAGAAGAATGGCTGCCCTGGCAATACTAATAAAGCAAAGCAAGAAAAAAAAAAATTTTCGAATAACAAATCGAACCCCAACTCAGAAAAAATGCTACATACAAATGTATTTCGAATATTGCAAACTACACGCAGCGAGTTGAGCTGACATAAGCGTAGAAAAAATAACAACAACAAAAAAAGTGATATAGCAAATAAAAGTAAATACAAAGAAGCGGAAAAAAGCAGTTGCTGATTATTCCATCATTCGTACATGCGTTGCTGCTTGGCCAGTTATTCGGCTGCTTGGCGAAGAGCGCGCAGCTGAATGCGCTGATTTTGTTGGTATAAAAACATTTGCACTGTTTTTGCTCCATTGTTTTGTGCCTTTGATCGTGCACAACACAAAAAAAAAATAAATACTTTGAATACAAAGCGCAGCCACTGCGGCAGCAAACAAAAAACGACAATGTAGTAGTTTATTGCCAAAGCAGAAGCGTTAATTATCGCTGACTAAGGAAGGTCTGGGAAGCACCCCACTAGCCATGCTACAATAACAACGAAAACTCCAACAATAAAATTGTTGCACAACATGGTTGCGTGTTTTTGACTGCAAAAATTAGATATTTGCAATGAAATATGCTAAATCGCTGGTAGCGTACATGAGCGGGGATAAAGGGGTGGTAGCAAGAGAGCTAGAGAGCAAAGCAACGGAAGTGGATACCACTGTGCAGAGGAGCCTACAATGAAAGTGAGATAAGTGTATAAATTAAGTACATAATCAAAAAAAGTAAATGAAAATTACACGAAAAAATTAAACGCGCTGAATTAAGGTTTCATCAATTCAATGCACAATGAAATTAACATTGGGGTTAAGAAAAGGCGGTTCAAATAGAATGTGTAAACATTTAGCTGCGCTGAATAGCATTTTTTAACAATTCAGCAACTATTCAGCACATGTATTTCAATACTGATAAATTTCACTGAAAAAACGTGTCTTTCTTAGCACAAAATGTTATTCAGCCCAGCTGAATATAGTTGAAAGGCAACACGTATCAATAATAAACACTGCATTCGTTATATTAATTTGAGCTAAATAAAGTTTTGCACTACGAAATGAGCTGAATATAGGTTTTTCCAAGAAGGTGCATTTAAATAGCTTACCACATAATTCAGCGCTGCTGAATAGCTTTACAAGCAACATAAATGATATGTAACTTTGAGTTTATCATACCAAATTGAGCTGAATAAAGACTTGCACTCCAAAATTCCTCTTTGCATTTTTAATTTACGATTATATTAAATCAAAAAACACATTCAGCTGAGCTGAATAAAGTTGCACGATGCTAAGTGGTTCCAGTATTGATGAGTTCGTTTCATTTGAAGTATCAATTGTGCTGAATAGGGTGTCAAGCCATGCAAACTGCTTAAAAAGAGATTTGCTGACATACATATGTACATACATACATACATACAAGTCGAAACAGTAACAGTATACAAACCAATAAATAAAATTATTATTTGAATATTTTATTTGTAATAATTATCGCGCCTTTATGATAATAAAATAATTACACGTAAAATTCACGATAGCTAACGAATGAAAAATAAATAAAGCATACATACATACGAACGTACAAATGTATGCAGGTACATATGTATGTATGTAGATAAGCCAGCAACGATAAAGCGAGCGGTGAGTGCGAAAAATTGGAGACGGCTGCCAACGAAATGCGCATAAAAAAACGTACACGCGTACACACTCAGATAAATATTTTATAAACTTGAAACTGGAAAACACTGTAAATCGCTGACGCGTCATCCATTTCACACACTCGAAGTGATAAACAGTCGTACAAAAAAAAAAAAAACAACTGAAAAAAAAATACAAAATAAGCAAGAGCTAAATGAGGAGCCGTAATCTACAACTAAACAAAATTAATTATAGCGTAGCTGTGTGTTTGCGCTCAGAGCAACGGCAAAAATTACCAGCAATAAAAAATGAATAGCAACAGTGCAAAATTGCAAAACACAAATACAAAGGAGGGAAAAATTAAACTAAACGCAAGAAAAATCAACAATGCGACGTCATAACATCATTATCATTATCATGAACTTCCTTAATTAACTATGTATGTACATATTGAAGTGAATTGGCAACAACAGCCACAGCAACAACAAATAGCCGAGCACGTTGAACGTACGATTACTTGGGTGCCTCATTAACAAACGATATGTACAACAATAAGACGGCGACGATCGCTCGGCAAATGGCCAGATGATGAGTGAGTGAGTGAGTGAGTGAGTAAGTGAGTGAGCGCGTGAGTGAGTCACTGATAGTACACGAACAACTCAGCCACTTGAGAGCTATTTGTGTAGGTATTTATTTATGTATGTATGTATGTATTGTTTGTGTGTGAGTCTTTTAGAGTGTACTGTATTTAGCGGTGAAGCGCTGGTTAAGCTTTCAAAGCGGCATATCAGCTTGTGAGCAAGCGCGAGGGCGGTGTTAGCGGGTAGCGGTGGTCGTGGTGGGCTACTAAGCAGACGTGGTTGCCCCCGAGACAGTAAACAAGAAAAAAAAGCCAAAAAAAAAAACGAAAACAAATAACTGGAATTAAGAGTGAAGCGCAGCGTTGGCTGCTTCTGTATATCAGGCGACGATATTGCTAAGCTTGTATGTGTGTGTGTGTGTGTGTCTATGTATGCAAGCATGCGCTACTACCGCTGTTATTCGTTTCATTCTTCTTCTTCTTTTACTACTTTTTTATTGCTTTTGTTTTTTTTTTTTGCTTTCTGCTTATGGCGTACACATTTAATGGTTGACGACGACGACGACGATTCACCAGAAACGAGGAAACCCGCAATCTAGCGATCGCTAAAACGGGCGAGTCAAGCTGGTGAGGCAGCCATCACAGTGCGATGAGTGTACACAGCGCAAGCGAGCGAGGTGCCGACCAAGTGAGCGAATGAGAGTGAGAGAGAGAGAGAGAGAGTGACCGAAAAAAAGAAGAAAAGAGAGGGAGAGAGTTAGCGGGCTTAGGGGCTTTTGGGGTAGCCGTTTACGTGTAAATAGCTGCGGTAAATATGAATCAAGTTGAAATACGTAACACACAAGTGCACACATACACACATGTACATATATGCCGACGACAATTTTTTCGCTTTAATAGCCGTATTTATACAAACATATAATATATATATAATTCGCATACATACGTACATATGTATGTACGTTTGCCTTTTGTTTTGTTAAATCGCTGGAAACGGGTTTTAGCCACCTGAATATATTTGTATGTACATGTGTGCATATATGTATTTTGTATCTGGTGGTTGCGCTTGCTATAGTTAGTATCTTTTTTTTTAGTTTTTTCGTCACATTTTGTCACTGTCACAGCAATGTTGGCAATGTCAGCCAACTGTAAGAATGGCTATAATGCTTCTGATGAAGGAGTTTTTTTTTCTAAATATTTTCGTGGTAGTTCACTGATGTTGCGTGTGATTTGGAGAGTACAGGGGGCACATATTCGCTTGAGTTATTGTTTAGTTTTATTAAATTATGTATGTATATGCTCTAATTTTTTTTCTTTAAATATAGTTTATCCAACCGTAAAAACTAGCAATTTTTTTTATATCACATAAATCTAGGGAAAGCTCAATAAATACCAAAAAAAAAATTAACAAAATTTTTAACTTTTAAATTCGACTTCTTAGAAAAATTTTGGGTGTGCAGTTATGCAGCCCATTAATTTTGGTATAATAAGGTGCTAAAAACTACGGTTGATTTTGGAGAAATTGAAACTGGAAAACCCTAAATCACTGACGCGTCATCCATTCCACGCACTCTAAGGGCCGTTTTCACCGTCTCTCGTTAACACTGATCCCCAGTTAAAAATCGTTACCGACGCTACTGACTCCATGCATATAACATTGTGTCGATAAGGTCGGTAACGATGTTTAACTGGGATTAGTGTTAACCAGAGATGGAGAAATTGGCCGTAAGTGATAAACAGTAGTACAAAAAGAGAAAAAAAAATTTAACTCACATTATTTTCCCTTAATTTCTTTCCTCCGCCTTGTTTTCCTTTCCATACCTATCCCTTTCTTTGCTGTTTCCCCCCTCTTTTCCTTTTCTTTCATTTTCTTTTCTTTTCGCTCCTTTTATTTAACTTATTTTATGGTTTTTATTGTAAGTACATAATTTTATTTCTCTTTTATTTCTATCATTTTGTGTGATATCTACGGTGACCAGATTTTGGTGGAAAAAAATCGGCGCAATTGTAATGCATCAAATCCGAACATATAATTTTGTTTTTAGAATAGAAGGACAGTTTTTAGAATAGAATACTGTTTTATTTAAAACAAAACAAAGAGAAATAAACTTGAAAAATTATCGCAAAATCTAATTAAAAAACTCAACATTTTGATGAAACTTTGTCGAACTTCGCTAATTTTTGTAAAACGTTTGAAATTTTTAATTGCTTTGGTAAATAACGTCGTTGATAAATAACGAGCTACACTTTCATAAAAAATAATAAACATTAAATATTTATTTTTTTGCCACTGTATCTACTGCTTATATTTTTCATATCCATGAATATTTTGAGGAAATTAGTAACTATTATTTTTTTATAAATTCAATAAATCCAAGTTAGAACCATTTCATGAAAACAAAAAACAAAACGTATAACAAATGATTATAAAAACCTTAAAAAATTCATCCAAGAGTGGTAGACTGCAATATCTGGAGAGTACCAGTTTGACAGCATAAAACATAACCAAAGATGATTGAAAGTAAGGATGCTGGCTATGTTTGTGCTGCCAAGTTTGTAAGAAAAAATGTTTTTGGGTCAGACTACAGGGAGACTCTTTTTAAATTAATAAAGGAAATACTGAAAATCGGGACACTTATACATCCCGACTTTTAAAAAGTATTCAGCGGGACAATTTTCTCAAAATCGGTACGAATGGTCACCGTAGTGATATCATAAGCTTCTCATTTGCGTACACCACTGCGTATGAGTAACCACAAAGCAAAATCGCATTTGGAATGTACTGTACCACTTTCGAATACAGAAAGAGAACACTTGTACACAATGTCGAATGATTTGCACCAAAAGTAAAAAAATTATCTATTTTCATTTCTCTTAATTTATAAGCTACAAATGTTGCTGACAAACATTCTTGCGAGTACATACTACATACATATATCTTATCAGTAAAAATTGGCTTACTTTTGCCTAATTTCTTTTTTCGCACACATCTAATTAACCGCTTTATTGTGGAAACGTGCGAGGGCGATAACAATGATTTAAATAACATAAATACATACATACATATATGTACATACATAAAATGCATGTATGTTTATGGTATGAATGAATTAAACTTTTTAATTTTGGAGAATCGAAAGTAGGTAAAAATCCCCTTTTATTGTTATAATCTTACACGTGTATATATTTTAATATAATTTTTCACTATCAGCTATTTATGGTTCTCAAAGTATTTGGTGAAAATTTTGTTTTAAAAATAATGACAATTCCTCACACAAGTTCAGTTGCAATTGGATGATATATGTATGTAAGTATGTAATCCTTCATATCCCCTAAAAAGCAATGTCGATAAATAGACTGCTATGTGGTCAGCATTATTTCAGAAGAAGACTGCTATGTAGTCAACATTATTTCTGATTCTAGGTTCCGTGTAATTAGTTCAAAATTTTCTGAAGGTAAGATAACCTAGGAGTCATCCTTACCAAGAGTGAGAAAAGACAGTTTCTAAATAGTTAAGTATGTATGTATGAATGTATGTATGTAGATTAGGGTACATCACGCTCCATACAGAAAAAAAATCGATACAGTACCATCCATGCAGTCCATCGGAATTATAAAATCTATTATATTCTAAGACTTTCCCCAAAATATTTCGGAAAAATGTTAAGATTTACGCGAGTTTGATTAATTCCGTGGATAAAATGTTTACAAATTTTTATGCAGCCGTTTTAAGCTTAAAAAAAAAAAACATTTTCAAAAAGTTTTTTTTTTAGGTATAAAAAAAAATAGTTTTTTTTTATGTATTTTCAAATCGGTCCAGCTCACGTAAATCTAAATATCTTGCCGAAATAAAGTGGAGAAAATGTTTAACTTTAATATATTTTATAATTCTGGCGGGAAAACCGTGCGTTTTTTTTTTGGAGAGGCACCCTAATATACAAATAATAAAAAAATTAAAAATAAATTTTTTTTAGAAAAAAAAATTTTTAAATTCACAAACAACTTGGATTGTACGTATTTTGGGATTCTGTTTAATTTAAAACTGCTCACATAACACAATATTTAAATTATTAACAAATACATACAATTCACTTAAATATTAAATTAGAAAAAATACAATAAACAAAATTGCTCTTGACGTAATGACCATTTTAAAATTTACGATTATGACCTTCAAAAATTTCAAAATATGAAAATTCATCATTCATTTTAGAAAAAATTGTTCTTTGGAAAATTTCACCTGAATTTCTATCAATTTGGCAAGTGATTTACAAAAGAAAAGACAAACAAAAAATTCAAAAGAGAAAAAAGGAGACCCCCGTCGATTTTCGCTTTGATGTATGTATGTATGCGAAATGAAATTCCCCTCAGCATTTGTACGAGTAAGTACAAGCGCCGAAATGACATCAAGCAATGCCAGCCAGCAACTGTCATGAGCAAATCCAAAAGCTAATAAATATCTAATGCGACGCGTCATAAAATGAAATGAACAACAAAAAGTGATGTGTTCTTCAAAATAGCTGCATACAAACATATGTACATATGTATGTACGTCAAAACATCACCCAAATGAACTCAAGAAGCCACTTAAAAGCGCAAAAATTTCAAATTCCGTTTTTCCAACAATTTATTTATTATCTAATACTGAAAAATATTCACAACGGAAATTCCCAGATATTGACGTAAAAATTTTCATTTTGGCTAATGCTAATGAATAACACAGCTGCTTCTTTTGTTTTGTTTGCGTTAAAAATATTATTTTTACGCTTTCTTTGGCGCTTGAAATTTTTGTTTAGTATAGTTTTCTCATAATTTTTGTAGTATTGTGAGCACTGTTGCTATTAATTTTTTTTTTTTTTTATTATTAATACTACGCTAAATGTTGAATATACAAACAAAACGATTTATATAGCTTAATGATTTGCTGATGATTTTCTCATCAACTCGCAAGTGGCGAGTGAGCCTGTTTTAGCGGGGGTGCAGCGGAAGGTTAAGATGTTTGCGTGGGTTTTGGTGTTAAATATGTCCAACAGGATATAGACATGAAGTATGCACGTCAGTGAGGCAAGTTGTCGATGGTTTAACATATGTTTTTATGTAGATATGAGTGAAAAAAATATTAAAAAGAAAAATATCATAAAAATAAAAAAATAAAAAGGCCAATAAAATATACTACAGACAAAAAATGAAAAACTTAAAAAAAATTGTACAATATGTATGTATGTATGTACTAAATCATATTTCTAGTAAAAAAACCTAAAAGTAAAGAATTTTAATTTAGCATGAAGTCATTTGTGCTGAAGGCTAGATGCGAAAAAAGTACATATAAATTTGTTGGAGATCAGCAAAAAAAAAGAAAAATAAAAAAATATTCGTCTATAAAAATCGTCTGCTGAGCAAGGCGAGCGCTATTTTAGCAGCATTTAGATTATCCACAAAATTTTTTGGCACACCAAAACAAATTAATTTAAATAATAGCACAAATAATTAAAAAAAAAACACGTACAAAAGACGAAAAATATAATTAAAAAAGCCATTTGCATAAATAATTTAAAAATATGCGAAATATTTTGCAGCGATTTCGTTCAGAAATTTATTCAAAAGCAAGAGTGTAGGTAGGAACTGTAAAAAAAATAAAAATTCTATGCAGATTTGGCAAACTGAGTAAAAATTTGATTTAGCAAATGCGAAAGCATGTAAATGAGTGCAACAAATTACTTAGAATGAAGTGTTAAAAAATGTAGCTACATAAAAAATTATCATAAAAATTTTTCCAAAAAAAAAATTTGAAATAATATTTTTTTAAAAAGCGGTCGCCGCATAGATGTTATTCTTTAATAGGGATGATAAGTTAGATCAACATAACTTAAAATCGATTAACTTATTTATCAGTGGCTTCAAATTCGATATAGTTGTTTCGATTAGATAAAAAAAAATGTAAACAATTTCAAAATCGAATTTTGATTACTTTTTAGTGTCTGTTAATGGAGATGCCATTTTGAAATCGATTAAACCGAAGTCGATTAATCAAAAACTGGACTAGTTTAATGATAAACTTATATCATTCAAATCAACAGAAAACTGCAATTGAAAATTTTCTGGCACGGTCACTAGAGATGCCACCTTAAGATCGATTACACCTAGAAATCAAAAAATACAGTTAAGCTTCTAAACTGTATGTGATTCAGAAAAAAAATAACAAAGCGAGAACGCCGACAATAAAGGCATCGATGACCGTATAAACTTAGCCAAGAATAAAACTAGGACAGCAGAAGGCAACAATTAAGGTATCAATGATCGATGAGTGTACCAAGCAAACATAATTAATCGATAATGATATTAGCAATTTTTATATGTGAGAACACAAACAATTATGATATAATATCGCGAGCTTGAAGCTCACTGACATATTCTGAAACAGAAACTCGGAAATTTGTCCATTTAATCGCAGAGATATCCTATTTAAATCGATACAGGCAAGTGATGACCGATAAATTAGAAATCATAGAGACATCGATAACTTAACAAAATAATCACAGCAACAAGAACGATATGATATCGATAGTTTGAATGTAATCGGTAACAATAGCACTAACGAGTAAGGAAAAAAATCGAAACGAGAACTACAAATATAATAAATATCGTTGGTCGATAAATATATGCGCCGATAAATAACAAATCTATTGTTATATCGATATCGACTACTTCTGTATAATGGCACAAGCAAAAGCAAGCAGAAAGCGAGAACGACGGCGACAAATATATCGACAATGATAAATAGAACGATAACTTATAATAAATGGATATCGATAGAACTATATCGAAACCATAATGTATCGATAGCGATATCGATAAACTTTATAATAACAAAAGTAAAAAAGGTAAAAGTCTATAACGATATTAGTGGCGAACACGAAAGGATATGTACATAGATCGAAAATAATAAAGTGCAACATATATATTGGCAGTCGATAAATACACCGGTAACTTATAATTAATCGATAACGATATCGCTATATCGCAATAATAATGTATCTATACATTTTATAGCAAAAGTAAAAACAAAGTACAATTCGATAGTTGTCTATAATGAAGTCGAATACTCTAACGATATTTAAATAGACTACAAATAAATGTAACAGGGAAATTCGATAATTCGCTTAATATTTATATCCTTTAATCTAATTAATTTAAGCTTTTCTTTACTCTCGTAGCTTTACTTCAAGGACAAATTTTATCCTTAGTATAGCCTCCTCCCTTACTATTTTCTGGTATCGATTTTTGTCCGCTTAAAGAAACAATAACAATAAAGCACTTACAATAAAAAATTATTACTCAAGAAAATTCCCACCAAAAATTGTGTGGGTTGACCTCCAGCTGTGCGAATATAAATATTTTATTTTTTTATTTATTTTCTTGTCACCTACAGAAATAATTTTATGCTCGAACAGTTGCATAAAATAATTTTTACTCCGCTATTTTTAGTGTGAACGACTACGTCAAATGACATTCAAAACGAAAAAAAATACAACAAAAAAAAAAATA